ATTTTGCGAAATATTGTTTTTACAAAGTAACAAAATGAAAAGTACAGTGAGACATCCTACTTCCAAACTGCAACTACGAGCTTGCGGTGCATAACCATCTTACCATCTCATTGACACCATGTAATTCATGTAGTTGAAATAGAGTCCTTTATGAGGTAAACAATTCTAGGAATCCTTTCAATTCCGGATAACCGACGGGCCTATTCCATTACCACAGGCATTAGGACCCTATTAAGCATGTTTCTCTGGTTAACAAATTCACTAAGCTAAGTCCTTCCTCTTTAGCTAACAAACTTCTTCGTAATTCCCGTATTTTATGGACCCAGAGATCTACAATAGCCGCTGATTTCTGTAAGATCAATTTCAATGTCATCCTCTCGTCTACGACCAAGGCACCCAAATGGTATCTTTCGACTAAAACCTTGTACAAATTTTACATTCCTTCAATTCATGCTACGATACCGATTTGATCATCGTAACAACTTTTGGTGAAAATTATAAACTATTATGCAAATTTTCTTAATCCTCCTGCTACTTATTTTATTTTTCCCCTAAAAGTCTTTTTAATACCGAAACACATGTAAATTTGAGAAAATAATTCATATGCTGACCAGGAACACGTAATTATTTTAATGTTTACTGCATGAAACCAAGGGTTTACTTATATTAGTTAGACACATTGCAAAGCGAAAGCATTTACATACGGAGTATAATTTTGGTTCCCTACTAACGTACTCGCGTTTGACAATTTATATCTTGCAGACTGAGAGGCGGATGGGCAAAATGGAGTTGCAGTCGTGCGCACATAACACCTAAGCCTGCGTCTCGTCTCACAAAGGATCTTGTAATTCGGTTGTGTCAGAAAATTCCATCAACTTCTCTCATGCTTTCCATCAGAAGCCACAAACAAGATATGATTTCCTCATCACATAACTCGCTTTTGCAGCCCCAAACACGTTGTAATACCTGTCATATGTATCAAGTAAAAAGCATAACAGTAATTGGAGACCGCAAGTTGCTGCTCTTGTGTATTCAGGCAACAACATATTCACGCATTTTTGTGCCCTGTGGAAAATCCCATCAGGTGTACCAACTCCTGAAAGCAACATCCTCGTATAGCGCTTGTAAACTGAGACTAAAGACAAATTAGACGGAAAATTATGCAAAACCACTGCCTCTGTGGGACCATAGAGTGGAAGTAAGGAAATATCTACTTATTCTGGCAACATTCATCACCGCCGGACGAATTTGGATGAAATTTGGTATAAACGTTATGCCAATTTTAGTATTATCCTCGAAACTAAATATCCATCACAGAAAATGTTTCAAATCAGAGATTCAGATCATGATGCTTTCTATATTTTGTGTTATGTACACATGTTTTTTTTACGATGGGATATTTTTATGGAAAATAAAAAAACTTATTACAGATGCACAGAAACTTCTATTTACATTTCAATGATGGATTCAAAAATAAAATTACAAACACAGTTTCTGGTGTTTCTGACATGAACTTCATCAGAGAAAATAAATTAAAACTGTTGTATTCTAACGCAAGGCATCTACCATGTTTTTATATTTAAAATATAAAACAACTTATTACAGGCTAACTTCGTGATTATAGAGTTCCGGAAATATCACAGACTCAGACGATAACAAAACATTTCCTCACTTCACTAAGAAGAATTAATACTTTCCTAACAGAAACTTTAATTCATGTGGAATATATTGGAGAAAGTGCAGAACGTAATTTCACGTGCTAACTCTGACCTCTAATTTATATTCACCTCAGCTGAGAAACCAACTTTCCTTCAGATCTATTGCAATCGTCTTGTCATTTAACATTATACAGCGCGTGCAGTTGAAAAATAGTACTTAAATAAGTTGACAGGCTATAAGAACATTGCTACTAAAGAATACAGGATTTAAAGGTTAATTCTGAGAGCACCTAACTCCTGTTATCCATAAATAATTCGGTCAAAAAGACAAATCCAATCTTATTTCCAAAAACCGGGTACAAGGACCCCGGTTTCCGAATTCTTTTTGAAAAGATCTGCCACCTCAGACTTACGCGCTTGTTCGTGTGGTGACGCGGAGAAATCGGTCCCTTTCTTCCAGTCAATTTACTGACTCTGATAGCAATGACTCCTATGTCACGTACACATGACCTCCTGGAGCCAACGATCTATAAAATTAGTCAGCATGTGAAGTACAAAAGGAGCAGCTGTATACATTTTGAATAAAAGTATACATGAAACAGAAACTGCATGTAGATCGGTTTTAATTGCAAGTCTCAATTTTCTTACCGGAGAAAACGAAGCCTTCAGCAAAAATATTTATATCTGAACAAAATGAATTCTATAATAATATGACGCACCATGAAGCGTATAATTTTTCCAGGTCGGGAGTTACAACAGAAGCTATTTTGTTCCATAAAGAATGGGGGAATGTCCTGACCAGTTCAACGACTATTAGCTTCCCTTAGGAGGAATCTGCTTCTTGGAGTCAGTTAAATTTAATTTTTTAAACGTAATTCCTGCTAATTTTTTTTATTTTATTTCTAACTGAATTCGAAACAAAACATCGCATGGAATCAGAGGTCTGTACCACAGCAGATTTGGACAGATATAGTTGTTATTTAATACTTGGTCAAGTTCATTCTTCGCCTCAAAGTTTTTGATTTGCCTAATTAATTCATGTTTTCTGCTTCAGTAATGGCGTAAACGGACATAAATTATAATACAGACAGAACGGTTAAAACAAAATGAATTCTGTAATATTCGTTCGCATTCATTAACGATGGAAAGTTGGAAAATTGCATTGGAACAGTGGATTTGAAGCTACGATTTCGCTGTAATGACACAAACAAACTCAACACGTCAGCGTGCGAGAACGACACAAAGCGAACTCAGACGGGAATGCCTCCACAACGGGACAACACGTAAAATCTGCCTTTCTCACGAGAAGCGGTTTAAGTTAGGGATTGAGGGCTTCCTAATTCACTACCCTCATGATATTTGTGTGCTATATCATAAAGATCCACTTTTAACCCCATAAAGAACAGTGATAACAATACATACTCCCTATTTTAACATTAAATAATTCTGTATTTAGCTTACAATTTGAGGGGTTTCGTATGATTCACAAAATAAACAATTACTAATTTTAATAAACAACATTAACCCTTTGAAGCCTGCTGGAAAATGTATTCACCTGTTCGGAAATCCGTCTTAACGTTCTTTTGTTTCGGGTGATTCTCAGCGTAAACAAAGATTATTTTCTTAAACAACGTTAATAAACTGAGCGTCGTACAGTGGAATATATTTCCTTTGCATTACGGACTGAACGCGGTGTGGTATAAGTTTACCGACGTTTCAGAGGTGATTGCTGCCTCCATCATTAGGCGATGAGTAACCCTAATTACGGAGGCAGCAAGTGCTTCTTGAATGTCGGCAAACTTATACCACACCGCACTGCGCAACAAATCAGAAGATAGTCATCACTTTGTTATCTCACAAGTTAATAACAACCTTGGTATGATAAATATCCGTGACTACAATTTTTGTTCTTGGTAGTACACGTGGTATGAAAAGGATATAAAAGCAGGAGTAGGTTGATCAAGGCTGCTCTATCGGTGCAGAAGTAAAGCGCGGATCAGGGGCTGAAGAGCTATAAAGGTGTCCCGGGTAGGTAAGTCTCGATTCTCAAGTTTGAAACTACATAAAATATCTGCAGCAATTTCAAGCGAACGAAACTAGGGGTCTGACATAAATTTGATGGTTTAGGGTTTAATGCCTGAGAAGCTGTTCCCTGTCAAAAATAGCACTGCGTGAATTTTTGTTTTGTGAATCAATTCTGATTACTCGTCTTACGAGAAGGGCTGACGTCCATCAAGTTTCTCACTTGATTAATCGACAATGCAGTTAAATTTTTATTGGGCTCCGTTGCTGTCCACTTATCTGAAGTAGATTCATCCATACAATTACAAATTACTTACCATCTTCTGCATAACGAACTGAAACGTCCAAGAAACAGTTTCATCCAAATGTTTATACTTCACCTCACTAAGTAATTTACTCGTCTCCCGCATTTTTTTCTCACCGAGGCGTTTTAAGATAATAAAACATTCATGAAAGAAACTAGATGCATCACGCAGAAGACCTATAAATCGTCTACGACCTTGTGAGGCCTTCATTTGAACACCTCACGGTACATTTTTACTATTACACTGTGCGTTCACTGATAAAGTTGAACGCAGCTGTCACCTCTGGGCTCCCGGCAAGACACAGCGAATCGCTACAACACTTTTACGATACGAGTCAAATATCTCTCCATAAAAACAATAAAATCAACTTACCATTGTTCCTGGGGGCCGGGAAGTGGCAGTTACATTCATCTTAATCACTAAACGCGCTGTATAACTGTACTAATTACGTAACTCAACAGAGAGCACTGCTTCTTGAAGAGCGATAGTGGCTCAACTTGAGAAGATATTCCCTGCCTCCTTCGGAGCCCAATGATTTATTACCATGTCCACTAGAGCCCGCCACTGGGCCCTATCATCAGCCAGATAAATCCAGTCCACACAGCATTTGAACTGTTTTAAACCACTGATTTGGTCACTCCTGCTACATTTTTATAATTATTTATAACGCCTGATCCAAACACTGTAGAATCAATCACCACAACACAAATTCAGTATTGAAATAATGGCTAAAAACATTAATCCAAAATAAAAGCGCTGGAATGCAGAGAGGGTGAACGATTTAAGATTCACGTTCTTACTCACCAAGTATGTTATAATCGATCTTATTTTCCCATCGGCAGGTACAGTAAGAAACATGTGGAAGAGACACCGGATAAACCAAGGAAGAAGATAAATGCTGAAAGGGGCAAAGAAATTTAAGAAGAACCACAAAGAATTAAATCAAGAAAGAAATAATTTCCTGTTGAATTTACACTATAATGTAAGCAAGAACTGCCATGCATGCGTCGCTTACCTCCCAAAATGTACAGGCCGCAGGCGACCAAAGTCTTGTGGTCGCTGTTGAAGTGCCCCATGAGGGCGAACATTGTGGCCACCAACATCAACAGCACCCCCACAGCCTCAAACGGCGTAGACAGCCTGCGGCAAACACATAGGCACGAATCAGTTCTGCTGTAGACCTTAGAGGTCAGAATGTCTTCACAGGCCGACGACAATAATAAATAGAAAAACATAAGACAGCCGTCATCGGGTTTACCGCCGTTAAAACCTCAAATCCTACTTAATAAAATACAGTTTTAGATTCAAATCTTAAGTCAAGAAGTCACTTGAGATACCTCGGCATACGAGGTGCGATCGGAAAATTTCCAGACTGTGTCAATAGAGGGCGAACCGGATGTAGTACGAGCTTCTGCCGCTAGGGGGTGCGGCCTACATTCATAGTGAATCAGTGTGCCAGCCGGCATCATCGAATTAGCATCGTAGTTGAGGACAATGTTCGTACTAAATATTATTTATTTATTTATTATTAACTGCAAATGGGTTTATACCCGGTGGAAGTGGTCCTACAATAAGACACAACAAAACAACACACATCACACAAAATAAAACAACTCATAAGATTAAATTACAAATATGACTTTGATTTTTCGGATAAATTCCAACTGGGACAAAAATTAGAAGTATATCCGAGACTAAGGGAGGGCTGGAAGTATAAAAATGATTATAATTATATAAAATATTCAATAATATATAAATTTATGATGAAATGAGGCAGTATATTGAAAGAGACACCACACAAAATATGTCCGAATGAAATTCTACACATCTCAGTACGAAAATCGAATATTCTATTTCGGAAGTCCGGGATACTGCACATTCCTTCCTGCCCAGAACTTCATCCACGCCACAAGAGTTTACTGAAGGCTGTAGACACATCCATGAACCCACAAGTGTGGCAAGTCTCACGCATTGGCCCCAAAACTTTGTTCCGCATTATTTGAAGTTCATATAGGTCAGGAAGGAACGCTTAAATTCCTTATGTACATCCAGCAAGCTACGCGTACTTACACATATGAGATTTGAGGTGCAGGCGACGGTGAAATTTCGAACAGCTGATTTCTGTGAATATGGAGGCACGTGTTTCTCCGAAAATTTGGTAACCACGTAAAGGTCTACAAAGTGTCATAACCCAGAAAACCACAATCCAATTTGCATGCCTGCAACAGAGCAATGAAACTTGAAATTCAAACTGGAAGTTCTCGGAATGTTAGAATAAGATTACTTTCCCTCTAAAGGTTACATTTATGTGGCGAGAGTATTGGTCCATTCTTGTGAAGAATCTTCTAGTACAAATGCCCACAAATTTAAATTCGTCTAATATGATTTGCGACTCTTGTAACTGTTAAGATTCAAACAATATGTGTTTATGAGAATCTTCAAAACAAATTTTCACATTTTTAGTTCCAATGGCTTATTAGTTGTGACATCTAAAAATTTATCTTTCTCTAATTATGTGTATATTTAATAAACCGTACAAAATAGTTTTGTTTTTGATTATCGTTACAACATTTACTCGATATCCTATACCTCGTTTAACTTAACGATATTGGTAATGGCGTAATAGTGAAATTTGTACGCACAAATATTTACTCGCAAATAGTAACATAAATGGCAAATGAATTATACCAGCTTGAAGTCCAATATGCTTTTTAAGCGGAATTGAAAAGAGTTGGATTTCTGTGTCTTGTCTACTTATGAAATTCGTATCGTACCACGTAAAACTTTATATACCATTTTATCATATCAAAAACAGGATGAAAGGAAATTCGAAGTTGGCTGTCTTCTGGATTGTTGCGCCCTGTAGTCTGGTAGAAGTTTATCAACGTTTCAGAGGTACTTGCTGCCTCCATCATCAGAACAATGAGTGCCTTTGAAACGTCGGTAAACTGCTACCAGACTACATGCACTGCAACGCAGAAGACATCTATCTTCAAACTCACGGCCGTGAAAACCTCAAATCTTATATAAAAAAGAAATTCGACTACAAATATATCAAAACGAACGAAAATAATATCACATAAGCCAGCTTTACGAACAAGACACGCGTTCATCTAAACAAATGAACATCGCAAGGAATTAAACTGGTTCTGAGAAAGGTATTCGATGAACACCCGGGTAAATATATGGCAGAGAGATTAAATTAAAACAGAATATTATAAGGAACAGAAGAATAGTTCCTTTGAAGGTCTCCAAGAACATCAGAAAAGTTTTAAATATAAAGAATTCCAATCTCAGCCTGTTGACTTGAGAAAAACACTTGCACGAACGGGATTTACTGAAGCAAAATGTAAGCCTGAAATAGAGGAAAAGAAATTCTTAAGCAAACATCAATCTTTCTCAGTTCCTACAGTAAAAGGTTTGTTGCTTGAAAGTATTCAAATAAACGTTTAGAAGTAATATTCATCTTTCCTTAGCTATTTCAGGTCGTCAGTATTAAGACAACACTATAATGATAATGTTTAAAAGTAATATGTACGACACAAAGCCGAGGCCATGTTCAAATACTTCACTTTGTGTGATATTAAAAGATGTGAACTACAATGTTTGAAATTTAATACAGCAAAGTAGCGAGACAATCTGCTTCTAATTTCGTCTTCAGGAAACATCCGAACTGTGTGAAATTTCAGCTTCCCACGGCGGCGAGTATAAAGATACTTCTGGGATGTTATCGCCCTGATGATGGAAGCAGTAAGCATCTTTGAAACGTGCGTTAATTTATACAAAACTACACGTCATCTTCGTGTTTGTGGTAGGTGTAAGTCAACTCGAACTGTGCATTCCTTTGAGGTAGGTGGGAGCAACAGTTCACGATAATATTTGGCTCTTTTTAGCAAATTAAGAAAAAATAATTTATCATGAAACGTAATTTAAAACAGTACTCTAACGGAGTAATTACGTCAGTGTACTCACAGAAATGGAGTCTGCAGTTGCTTAACTCAGTTACCATTAAGAGCAGGCAATATCAGGAAATTCAACTCGTGATGTGGATGCACTTCAAAGTCTCTTGGTGATTTAAATAAGAAATACGACATGTAACGTAATTTCTAACTAATAACATGAAAAAGAAAGCTTATACGAATGTTATTTTGTTAAAGAGAGTGACATTAGTGGCTACATGTAAACGTAAATGTGGAAAGAACATTTTTACATCAAAAGGCGAGGCAACATTAACACTTTCTTGTGTTGGTTTGACATGAAAGATTAAGTTATAAAACGAGCTGACAAGAGAAGGCATTAATGGAATACTGTCGTAAAGATCTATTGTAATGCACAAGAAGATGATGCTTTGAAAAACACGTGAAAGTATATTTTGTAACACCCGGAGAATAATCCAGTCAAATGATCTTAATATTGGCAAGCGTCTGAATGTGTTCCCAGGTCTGTATAGAAAACCGAATATTAGAAAACACGATACAAAATTTATAGGCTGAATTTGTATTAATGTAACTTATAAAATTTGTTACCTGATGCGTTTTCATGCCTGCAGCTACCGAAACGAAATGAAATGTACGATAACAAAACAAGTCACAAAAGGAGAAGGAAATACGAAAGAAAATAGAGGAACGTAGTCGGAACGGCAGACAGTATGTTCTTTCTGCGGGTGGATCAATCCTAATGAAATTTGAAGAGGGGCCCATAGCGGCAAGAAACGTCTACTTCGATTTTAAAACAAAAATTGCATTGTCTGCTCCCATCCCTAACCCTGTTATTGCAAGTGCAGTACTTTGCCGATAACACAATGAAAGCTCTCCGTCGGCAGATCCGAGCAAAAGAGGCATTAGTCCCACCTCTTGTTTACCGTGTCATTACAATCTGTACGTGCATGGCGGTGTCCCAATGCAATTCGCTGTTGACACCTAGAAATGCGAACAGAACATTTGGACCTGACAGACAGAGAAGATGTTTTAGGAGGATGGAGAGAACTGAGTTACGAAGAGCTTCGTAATTTGTACATTTCAGTAAATAAATACTGTTTGAACTCTGAAGGGTCTATAAAGGATTAAGTTCGATTTTTATTCTCCTCTCACACTCGTTCGTCTCTTTATCTCTTTTCTCTTTCTGCAGAGTAGATGGGTTGCCCGAAATTTCTTGCAAGAAGGTGTGGGTGGTGGAGGTTAAAATGTATCTATCAGGTTCTTTACTTTATTTTATTTTTTGTTTCAGTAAAGGCGTGGCAATTTCTCTGAAGGTACAGAACACCTTGATATGTGTCTTTTGTCCCAAGAGCCTTGGAACTGTTCCAAACGTCGCTCTTCCATTCTTTTTTTTTAAAAAGTTAGCGTAGCGCTTCAAAAGAAACGAAACTTCCTCCTTCGGAAGGATTGAAAAATATGGGAATAGGAAACTTGGAAGAGGCTTAGTACTAGGTCCATATACAACAAAAGTATATTTCTACGTTTGTAAATGCTGGGCCAGCAGAAAGCAACATTATCATGATAATTCTGTAATTCGTTTTCTGTCAAACTTGGTGCTACAAGTATTCCACGAGCATTCCGGACACTGTATCGGGCGTTTCAAGAAACAAAATCAAGTTCATATAAACCCTGACAGACAGCAATAGAGCTTCGGAAAACTCCCTATGCTTGACATCGTTTCAGAGAGACAAAACACAAAATTCTATACTAACTGAAATTTAAGTTAATTTATTACTGATGGACATTTATTTTGCCGCCTATTCAATAAATTTTATTTCTCCGTTGTTAACCAGGATGAAATTAAACTAACTATCGAATAATTTACTTAAAACCCGGAGAATCTATGAACGAAATTAGTGGTGAAATTATGTTCAGGTTATATACATTCATGCTTTATCTTTGCAAAGCTACGAACGCCATGAAGTCAGATAAAGAAGAAAGAGGGATAAAATATGAAAAAAGATACAAAAATTTTAAAATTGCGCTGAAATGTTGTTTTGGTCGATGTTATTCGCAGGTTATAACTCAGATTGGCACGCAAGAAGTCTTGAGGTGAAGGTAAGACTGCAATGAGATCATGTCACCACAGAGAACCTACAGAACGCTCCGACAGAAGCCAGAACTCTCCCCAGTCCCTGGGGCGCAAAACCTGGTGACACGGTG